TAAACTATATCAAATTGCTTGCCTTCTCAATGAGGGGGTAGGGAGCGAGGACGGGAAAGAATTTGGAACTCAAAGTTTTTAAAACAAATGTTTAAGATTTCTTTTTTATGTGAAACTGGGGAAAAATAAAACACTAAATAAATTTTTTTTAAAAAGAAAATCTACTTTTTCCTTTGTTGCAAGATACTACATTATATGTCAGACATTGCCATGTATCATCCTTAGGCATTGGGTTAAAATCTAGTTATCCTTTCTTTTCATTACAATCTTGACTACTATTTGTAGGGGTAGTCAGGTGTCACAGAGGATAGAAGGTGGGACTTGAAGTCATAAAGCTGCAATCCTGCCTTGGACATTGTGACAACTTCTGTTTGCCTCAGTTTCTTCACCTATAAAATGGGGATAATAATAGTACCTCCCTCCCAGGTTTGTTGTGAGGATCAAATGAGATAATATTTGTAAAATATTTTGCAAACTTTAAACTACTATATAAATACTAGGTATTATTATAATTCCATAAATGATACTTGGAGGCCACTTCTATATGTGTTTGTATAGGAATACGTGTATCTAGACATGTTTATAGCTCTGACCAACAAATAGAATCTATAAGGGGAAAAACATATAAATTTGCTGCACGTTTTAGAAAATCCTACCATCCAACAAATTAATCCTTTCTGAACCTCATTCTAATCATCTGTAAAATGGGAATAATGATGTGTGCCCTAAGCATCAATTATCCTCTGCCTTATACTTCTATACTTGGGCCTTATCTAATAGAAAGATTAGATACACAATGGCCAGGAGTTAAGAAACAGCTTCACACTTATGAAAGAACTTTGGGAATTCAAAAGTATTGTGACAAATGTCAGGTGTCATACTTTTTAAGAAGCACATTAAGCTTTTGCAGGAAGTCATATTCACTTAATATATTCTCTAACCTACACTGATATACATTTTCCTTTAGCATATTCTCACAATTCATACCATCATAGACCTCAAGGACCCATCCAGTCTGACCTCCTAATTTTACACACAAGAAAACTCAAGTCCAGAGAGTCTAAATGATTTGTCCAAAGTCACACCAGTAATAAACAAGAAAGGCAAGATTTGAACCTAGGTCTTCTATCTCCAAAGTTGGTGTTCTTTCCACTCCTGCTCTTTATCCTTTGTTATTATTATGTAGTAAAACCCCATGTAAAATGCTTCTCCTTACCACAGATCTACTTGTACTCTTCCTGAATACATATAGGAAGAAAGGAAATAAGCATTTATTAAGAATCTACTGTGTACTAGGTACTGTGCTAAGTGCTTTATGAAGATCTCATCTGATCCTCACAACAAGCCTGGAAGGTAGGTTATTATCCCCATTTTACAGTTAAGGAAACTGAGAATTGTTTAAGAGACTGCTCAGGATCACACTGCTAGAAAGTGTCTGAAGCTGGATTTGAACTCAGGTCTTCCCAACTCCAGGGCCAGTGCTCTACCCCGTGTGCCATCCAGCTGTCTCACATCTGTAGTGCGAAAGAAGCCGAGCGTGCTGCCAATCTTTCTCATCATAATATGACCAGCCATGATGTGCATTAGGGCTTTATCCAGTTACAGAGGTAGTCAGTGATGGAGCCAGATTATGATTCATGGCTTGTGTTCTTCCTGCCTTACTGCGCTTCTTTCATGCTTGAGCAGGACTTAGATTCAGAGGGAGCAAAGAGAGCCCTGAGTGTTTGGCTTGGGAGGAAGCTTTTGGACTAAGGTTCAATGAGAGAGTCAGAGTCAGACACAGAGCTGCAAGTGAAGGCAGACAGGACACAGCAAATGAATGGAAATCTTTCGATCCAGAGGACCAAGGAAACTTTCAGAAATGATGAATATCAGAGTGATAAGGCCAAAGGAAAAAGGAAGGATAGTGATTTCAAAACTATTCAATGTGTTGGACAAACTGTTTTCAAACAGCAGGAAAACAAAAGAAAGAATCTGATTTGGCATTTTTAAATATTAGACTAACAGGTACAAAATTATGAGAGTTCCTTAACCTTTCAATAGCAATTTTGTACTGGGATTCTTCACCTATTTTGTGCTACAGTCTGCTGTAGCCAGACTGGACCCCTTCTCAGAATCATATTTTTGTACATAAAGCAAAATATTTAGGATTACAAAGGAAACTAATTACGTTGAATCAAAAAATTTTTAATTCATGGTTGTCTTTACACTCCCATCCTAACATACCCTCCAAAAAAAAAAAAAACAAACCCTATCTGCCTCAGTTTAAAAACCCTTTCACTAGAGTAAAACGAATCTCTCCTAAAGTATTCTTCAACCTAAGGTATACCACTAACTGCTGGCTGTAGAGAACAATCAGCCAGTGCTTTTATGGTTTTCCAGGATATCCAGATGGTTAGCCTGGGAAACCTTAGATTGTTTTACCATTCACAGAACCAGACTTGGATCAAAAGTGGAGGGAAAAAATCCCTATTAAAAGGACCAGTCAATGATGTAACTTGCTACATTGATGAAAAACAAGAATTTTTTTTTTTTTTTGCTGATTTTACTCCCCAAGCTTTGGCAAATGATGAATGAATTGCCAAGAAAGGCCTGGAAATACATTCTATGACAGAAGTAGCATTTTGTAAAATACGTTAAAAATTACATTCAAATTATACCATTCATGGGGATGTTACTCTGCATTTCAGGTTGCATATTATACAATACAGATTTCTATTTACAACCCACAGTTTAGACTTACTCAGAGTTTATTAAAATCATTTCCTTTTTAACTGATATATTCCCTGAGCTTAATTTCAGCTGTCTAATAAAAATTTTAATAAAAACACTATCCAAATTAGTTCCTTTCAATTTCCATCTGAAATAATGAAACTTTTCTTTTGATTAAAAAAGTAAAAAATTAGGAAACCTTTACAAATAGAGTATACTGGGAAAATACTGAAGAAAGTCAAATATGTTCTTCTAAAATAAAGAGTTGTTTCATTAAGCTTGAAAATGAAATATGATTGATTTTAAAATTCATCATGGACATGTGGCCTAAAAATTATACTTTTAAACATATGCAAATTGCTTCTGGTCCTCCTGGCTAAGTTTAATTTAATTTTTAAAAATCATTAAACACTGTGCTAGATATTTTGCATAAATTCACTTCAAAACTTTCTAGTTTCAATAAATCTATATGTATTTATACATAGCCATGTGAGTAATCCATCAAAAGTTGCCTTCTTAACTTGGAACTGGGAGATTTTAATTCAAAGCCCATCTCTGCTCTTATAAGCTCTGTGACCTTGGACAAGTCACTTGGCTTTCTCATGCCTTCATCTCCCCATCCACAAAACTGGAACAATAAGACTGTCTACCTCGCAAGTTTAACCTTAACTTATTTCTTTCTTCCAAATATAAACTAAAAGGAAATATAGTATCCATATGTTCATGTAGCTGGTTTCTAGAGTCCTAGAGATAATGTCATTAACCTTTTTATTAGGAAACATTTTAATGTCAATCTCATATGCATCTGCCTGGCAATTAAAATGGTTGTATGTGCAGCATATTCCTAGATTATGACTGCCCTGAGATTCACAAATACAACTTAAGAACTCATTCAACCACACACACCATTTATCTATGTATATTTATAAGAATCATAACATAAATCCTTTATTTTGTAGAAGTTATACAATAGTCCATCCATTATTCATCTGACCAATAGCTCCTAAATTACAACTTTGCCATCCTGCCATGTTTTAGTCTGTGCAGATATGAAAGCCACTGATTTTTTCTATGTTGTTCAGTTACTGTTAGGTAGTTTGCTTTAACCGACAATTTTTGTTGTTAGTCAATCATTTCAGTCATGTGGAACTCTTATGATCCTATTTGGCATTTTCTTGGCAAAGATACTAGAGTGGTTTGCCATTTCCTTCTCCAACTCATTTTACAGATGGGGAAACTGAGGCAAACAAGGTTAAGTGACTTGCACAGGGTCAGACAGCTAGTAAGTGTCTGAGGCCATAGGTCTTCCTGATTCCAGGCCTAGTGCTCTAACTACTGTGCCACCCAGCAGCCCTTTAACCAGAAATCCAACTGCCTGGGGCTACCTCCAGTTATCCTGATCTATATCTTGCCACAGAACCTAGATGGCTCCAAAGGAGAAAGCAAGGCGGGTGACTTTGCACAGACTTCCCTTACTTAAATCCAATCCACTCACAAGTCCTGGCACCATCTTCCTGATAACATAGTCCTCTTCCAGAATGAAGGACAAATCACAACAATCCAACTGCCTTAATATAAGCTGACTGCCTAGAGTTAAATGGTTACATATCCTAGCTCAGTCTCTTAACTTGTCAAGGCCCTCTTGAGGACTCTATCTTTTAATTCCTCCTATGTAGAATGCTCAAATTGTTCTTATCAGAAATCTTTGGAAAGTGAGAATCCAATTAAAAGACAATTAAAGACAACTGACAGGTGTTTTTTTTCCAGTTTCTCAAACATTGTGGACTTCAGGTTCATACTGATGCAAATTCCCAACCCAATATGACAGGATTTAGTTAAGTGATATTATCTCTGTTTGTACAATGAAAGTGCTCAATCTCTTCATTTGGCTTTGAAATTTTACCTTTTCAAATCAACTAGACAAAATAAATCAGGCTACAATAGAGATTTCTAAATATCTCCATGTTGAAATTGAATTATCTCACTTGCAAATGGAAGGGGGCATTTCTTCCATGACAATCCAACCACTTAGTCATCCATTCTCTATAAGAAAAATCTACCTTTTCCTGTGTTTGTACACACCACACTACATTAAATGCCTAACATTGCAATGTATCATTCTAAAGAGTTAGGATAAATCTAGTTAACTGACTTCTCTCTTCGTTTTTATAATCCCATGAACTCTACCCAAATCACACACACTCATATGTCACATCATATCCATTAGATTATAAATTTGACTATACACATATAGTTTCATATTTCAAACACACACAAAAAGAATGTACCTTTTCACCCATGTCACCTTTGGGTCCACTGTCTCCAGCATCTCCCTAAGGGGAAAAAGAGAGGGGATGAGATAAGACCTTTAATGTCTCACAGAGTAATGTTATATTAAGCTTTTTTTTCCCTATCCCCCTCCCCTGTATATAGTATACCAAATTACAGTCTCTTATAAATTCTTTGCAAAGCCACAAAGAAAAGGAATTTTAATTAATTTGGCTGAATGAAACCATGAGGACAAAGGAAAGGACCACAAAATGTCATTGATATTGTACCTTCAAAGAAATTTTCATCAATTCAATTTTAAGGAAGAAGGAAAAATATGCTTGACCGTTACATGGTCTGATGCACTGTAAGTAAGATCGTAGTCTGAGACCTAGCTCTTTGACTCATAAAGTCATCTGACAACTGACAATCAACTTAACAATTCCTTAATCCCTACTATGAGTTTTAATCTCACACACACAACGAATTACCTCCCAAACTGCTCCATGAACATATAGCTGACTCAGGTCAGGTCTGAAGAGGACTGTGATCATTACTAGCAGGACAGAGATGCCATACAACAATTCAAATATCCCAGTCATATTCATCTATTCCAGTCATAATCTAGGTAGTTAATTTTTTCCCCTAAAGCATGCTCTTCTTCCTAAGGCTCTATTTACCTATGGTTTTTTTTCCCCCTACAACAATCTTTCTCTTTTTCAGCTGCTGTGCTATGTGGCTGCTGTGGATTACATGTGTGAGTGCAGCGATATCTTGGAGGTAGAGGTTCTCAGATTCCTCTCCTGATTTGGGTGGATGACTCCAGGCGTAGGGATTATTAGAATGTATAGAAATTACACAAATTTCAAAATTCTGATATAAACAAAAGGTTGAAACCCAACATCAATGGGAAGCAATGGTACATATGATGAAAAAGGATGTATTAATGAAGTACGAAGGATTTGAGTTTCTTTCTTTTTTTTTTTCCTGTTGGTGAGGCAATCAGAATTAAGTGACTTGCCCAGGATCACACAGCTAGTAAGCGTCAAGTGTCTGAGGTTGGATTTGAACTCAGGTCCTCCTGACTCCAAGGCCAGAGTTCTATCTATGGTGACACCTAGCCGCCCCTGTGTTTCTTAATCTATGGTTTTTGATGTAATCTAATGGTCCAGATAAGTTAAAGCTAGTTATTATCCTGGATTTTTATCATTAAAATATTTTTTCTTTTAATAGAGACGGAAGGAAATTAATGTGAATCCTCGTGCCTTCCTTCTCAGATTACCTTTAGTTTATTCTGTATGTATCCTGTGTGTTCCTAATTGTTTGCGTATTCAGTCCCCCATATGATTGTGACCTCCTTACTGGCACACTTTCTGTCTTACTTTGTATGCCCACTGCTTAGCACAGTGCCTAGCACATTTTTGCTGCTGTTGTTCAGTCATTTCAGTTGTGACCAACTCTTGGTGACCCTATTTAGGGTTTTCTTGGCAAAGATACTAGAACGGTTTGCCTTTTCTTTTTCCAGCTCATTTTATAGATGAGGAAACTGAGGCAAATAGGGTTAAGTGACTTACCCAGAGTCACACCGCTATTAAGTGTCTGAGGCCAGATTTCAATTCTGGAAGATGAGTCTTCCTGATTCCAGGCCTGGCACTCAGTACCCACTAAACTACCTAGCTGCATAGTAGATGCTTAATAAATACTTGATTGTCCTTTTTTTTTAAAAGAGGTGACACATTTCAGTGTCCTCTTCCTAATACCTGTACTTCTATATTTCACGGATATGGGATTTTGCAAGTGTGAGTACTCCTATCACAAATGCAGCTTATACACCCTCTACCACTTGATAGGTTAGCTTAAGAGCTGTTGGGCACCTTTCCTAATGTAGCTAAATTTCAGCTCCTTATCCTGGTATTTGAAGTCTTCTGTATTCTGACTCTATGTACATCTCAGTCTTATCTCCTACTGCTTCCCAAAGTCAACTCCCTGCTCCATCAAAACCATTTCCTGTCCACATTCTTGTCTCTGCCTCTCTGTTTTACTGTTTCTCCTAGCTAGCATGCTCTCCCCTCTTTTTTTTTTTTTTGGCAATGGGTTAAGTGACTTGCCCAGGGTCATACAGCTAGTAAGTGTTATGTGTCTGAGGCTGGATTTGAACTCAGGTCCTCCTGAATCCAGGGCTGGTGCTCTATCCACCATGCCACCTAGCTGCCCCTCTCCCCTCTTTCTTTTGGTCTAACATCTACCCTTCCTTTAAGATCTAGCTCATGTTCCAGCTTCTACAATCCAATTGGCTAAATATAAATTGGTGATCTGAAGGCACCTGTCTCTTGTAGTCTATTTTCAGCCCCAGGCAATCAGTCCTCTGAACTCCTATAGCATTTATTACTTGTATCATTAGCATGTGAGACTTGGTTTTGCTATTTAAAAAAGTATATAGGACGTCTCCCCCGGTAGATTTATAAAGCCTTTGATGTTAAGGACCCAAGCCTGTCTTAGATTTCTTTGCATATATCTGGAACACTTAGTGTAGATATGATAGATGCTCAATAATTATACTGATGGTGATTTCTTTTTTATTTTGTTGCTGAGTTGTTTCAGTTGTGTCTGACTCTTTGTGACCCCATTTGGTGTTTTCTTGGCAAAGATGCTGGAGTAGCTTGCCATTTCCTTCTCAGCTCATTTTACAGATGGGGAAACTGAAGCAAACAGGTTTAGGCGACTTGCCCAGGGTCACAATAGCTACTCTATCCACTGTGCCACCTAGCTGCCCCCTTCTTTTTTATTAGTTTAACAGTAAAAATAAGTAACACTTATTTATCTTTAATGAAATGCTGACTGATCTATGATAGGCAGCCTAGTAATAGTACCCCAGTCTCTCAGACCTCCAAGATGCCACAGTTTGTTGCCAGATCAGCTCTTTAGATCTAAACAAAACTTGAGCTCTATAGACATGGCCTTCAAGACTCTCAGTGTAGACTTGAAAAAGAGATTTCTTGAAGTTTTTTCCTATAGAGAAAACTGAGTCCAGCGGTTCTTAAACTTTTGGGTATGTGTCATGAGTTCCCCTACACACACACACACACACACACACACACACACACACAACACACACACACAGAGGTGATCTAGTGAGCCTATGGACCTCTCTCAGAATTACGTTTGTAAGCCTTCAATTTGGATAGGATTAGGAAACCAATCATATTAAAAGAGAGTCATCAAAATATTGAAAAAAGAAAGTCACGGACCCCCAGATAAGAACCCCCTGATCAGTTTCTAGATACACTGACTCCTTCCTTTTCCTTTATATACTTAGTGCTAGTCATGAATACTTCCTCTGACCTGTGCTCTTGTCTTCCATTTGCAAAATTTCAGGTTTCATTTTGGAAATTCATATTTCTGTTGGTAATCTATTTACTTCAGCACTAAATTTCTATTATTAGTGAACCAAATTTTTGCAGGCCTAGTCAGTTTGAAAAGATTTTAAAAGTTGGCATGGAATACTAAACATTTTTAGTTAGAGTAGCCCTTTCTTAGTAACTCTTTGGGCAGCTAGGTACCACAGTGGATAAAGTGCTGGACCCAAAGTCAGAGAAGACCTGAGTTTAAATCTGGCCCAGACACATCCTACTTATGTTACCTTCGGTAAGTCACTTAACCCTATTTGCCTCAGTTTCCTCATCTGTAAAATGAACTGGAGAAGGAAATACTCCAGGTTCTTTTCCAAGAAAACCCCAAATGGGATCATGAAGAGTTGGACATGACTGAAACGACTGAACAACAATAACACTTAACTAAAAAATAGTGATAATAATAGCATTTACCTCCCAGGGTTGTAATATCTGTAAAGTGCTTAGCACAGTGCCTGTCACATAGTAAGCACTATATAAGCTTCATTCTGGGAGAAAAAAAAGAGATAAATGCAGTCTTACCTTTTCTCCTCGCTCTCCAGGATCGCCCTGAGAAAAAGAAAAGATATGGGTGCATTATTCACCTGTTCAACTAGATACTGTTGATGAGTGAGTTTGGTTGGGGGTGCCTAATAAGATGGGGGAATATATGGAGATGCCACATGTAATTTCATGATAAAGTGGATGGCATAAATGAAAAATTAACCACTAGATTCTAAAACATCAGGATAAAGGGACTCCAGAATTCTGAGTAGGAAAGTTCAAAATCAACAAGAGGACACTTGACTTCATATTAAGGGGGATGAGCTTTAAAGAATTTTCTGCCCTCCAAAATGAGATATTGACCAGAGAAAGTGGTCGTGTGGTTTTAGAGAAGAAGGTAGGAGCCCTGGGTTTTTGATTTCAGCTCAGTCATTGACTTACTGTGTGAACATGGGTCACACCTTCCCTTTCTGTGTCTCAGTTTCCTAATTTGTAAAGTGAAATGATTGATAGACTTTAGATTCCTTTCTGCCCTAAAAGTCTGTCATTCAATGACTTAAGTAGGATATTAGCTACATAGATGCTGTCTGAAGAAAAAAAGAATTTGATCCTTGGCAGACTATTCAAATTTAGGTATTATCTTGATTCTTTCCATCTGTATTGTTGAGATCTAAAGAAAGAGCCGCAAATTCAGTATACTGTCATGTGGATACTGGTGGCATTACAACTTAGGTTCCATGGCAACATCTGTAAATAGTCTGGTAATTTTCATTTTGCTTAAAGTTGCTGTTTAAAAAAAAAAAGTTGCTTAGTACAACCTTCAGTTTCCTCCTAAAATGAGGTTGGCATATGCAGGAAATACCACATTTCATACAGTTACATAAGTGGAGTCAGTGAGACTAACAATGCCTCGCCATTATCAAAATACCAAAGAAAGAAATTGTCGAAAGAATAAGTTAGCACATCTGTGTGATAAATGGTATGGTGTGGTGGAGAGCCTGGAATCAGGAAGACCTCTGATTGGCCCTATCAGTCCTAGGACCAAAGGTCCCCTAGGCTATTTGTCCTTATTCTGTCCCTGAACTTCCAACCTTGAGACAGATTCAGCAGTGTGGATTTTAAAGTCCTGTGAATGGTTTGAGCCAAATGGAATGGTCCCAGAGCCATAATACCCTCTGTAGCCTGGTTCCCTCCACCTCCCAACCACAACAGTAGATTCTGAATCCATTGTTTGTTGGGATATTACAGTCCCCTATGGAGAATGCTGGAATGTGAAAGAACCCAGAGATTTTATGAGAGCCTTCTCTGCTCAGAAAGTACAAAATCAGGGAAATTCCCAGGGTAAAGAGAGTTTCAGTATAACTTTACAGGAAAAGGACAGAAATGATAAAAAGTCCTAGAATGAATTATATGCATAATGAAATAGCTGCTTTTGTGAAAATTTTGAGCAGAAGTCTCCAGTGCTCTCAGATCTTCTTGCTGACAGGACAGCTTAGGACGACTTCCATGTTCTTTTTCAAACTCATAACCTAGTTTCAGTGGCAATTCTCCTTTCATTGTTGGGAGCTGACAGTGACCCTCTAGCTTCATGTATTTCTGGCCACTCTCATCACCCAACACCTATCGAGATGGTTGCTAGGCAACACTAGAATAGCACCATGAACATCCATTCTTCATGAAGTCCAATCATTTGGCATTTTAGTGTGGGGAAAGAGAACCAGCCGGGGAGATGGCTGAGGTCTCAAAGGACTATTCACTTGCCTCTCTTTCTGGGCAAAAGAAACATTTATAAACTTGAAATCTGTCATCACCTATCAATAATGATGTGATCTGTGATGGGTATGTGTGTCTAGAGATACACAAAAACACAACTGATGGGATTAGACATAATCCTGCTATTTAAGAGAAGCTCACTAAGCAAACCTTTTGGAATTTGTCACCTATATTGTCCTTAACAGACTTCTTCTTTTCTCAAGAAAGAGAAAAGTTGAAATTTCCCAGAAGTCAATAAGAACTACAGCCCCCAAACCCTCTCAAGACCTTTCTTAACTATTTAGGCCATATCTATATTAACTTTTAAAATGGAGCTACATCTCCATTGTGCTATGAAAATGTTGCATTATTGAATAGGTAAATTTCTAGGAGCAGTAACAAATTGTAGAAGTTATTTGAAAGAATAGAAAATTCCAGGCAACATAAATATGGTCTATGGTGTTGCAGAAAGTCATCATGGAGGGGCAGAAAGCACACTAGACTTTGCAGTAGAAGACTTAGGTTTGAGTATTTGCCCTGAAACTTAATTGCTGAGGAGTTCATCTTCCTTATCTATAAAATGAAGAAAGTGATACTTAGACTACATACCTCAGAGAGTGGTTGGAGGAAAGTATTATGTAAATGTCAACTATTGTTCATTGGTCACCAAGGAAACAATTAAAATCATCTCAGAAACCAAGGATTTCTAATGATAGCCAATAATCTCTGCTAAGTTTCTGTGACTGTAAATAAGCCAGAAACAAAGTAGATGCCCAATGATTAAGAGAATAACTAAACAAGTTGTGTTACGGTAACACAATGGAAAAATATTTCACTGTAAGCATTGATAACACAGGTCAGACATGGTAGTCCATGATGGTAATTGCAGCTACTGGGGAGGCTAATGCTATGGACTTCTTGAGCTTGAGAATTCTGAGCTGCAGTGGGCTAAGGTGATTAGATGTCTTCACTAAGTCTAGCATCAATATGGCAAACCCCTGGGAGTGGGGGTCTATCAGACTTTGTAGGAAGGCCAAACTGCCCCAGGATGGGATAGAGCAGGTCAAAACTCTAGTGATAATCAGAGGGAGACCAGACCTATAATTAGCCCCTGAACTTCCAGCCTGGAAGAAAGAGGAAGACACAATCTTAAAAAAAAAAAAAAAAGGAAAGGAAAAAGAACTTACATCCATAAAGAATATGGAGAGGCATGGGAAAAATCTATGAAATATTTAGTAAAGTAAAAAATAAGCAAGATAAAGAAAACAATGACTATAACAACATAAAAGGAAAGAAAGCAATAACAAAGCAATCAGAACTGAATGCTATGAAATTATAATGGCCAAGCTTGGCCCTGAAGAAAAGATGAGAAAATGGACCTCCCTGCCTTCTTTGTAGAGTTGGGGAATATGGGTGTGGATGTATTGCTTATTTTTGCTGTCTTGTTTTTCTCCCTTCTTGTTACAAGAGATGGCTCCTTGGGCTGGAGAGGTGAGAGGGAAATATTTGGAAATAAGAGTGAATATGAATACAAAATATATCAATAAAATTAAAAAAAGGAGAGAAAAAGTCTGGGGTGATGGGGAAGACAATGACATCCTGTTTGTTTTCTAAATCAGGAAGAAGCATAATGAACACTAATTATAATGTCACAAACAATAATTTTTTTCACTTAGTATGAAGAGAAATCTTTTAGTGTGTCATGGTCTTAACAGGCAAAGAAGGACACACAAGTTTAACATCAGTCACATCAAAAATGGTAATAACATGATATTTTATGCAGATATTTATAGTGCACAGAAAATGTACACGACTTTTTATTTAACTAACCTTAGGCCCAGGTGTGCCATTCTGTCCCGCTGTTCCGGGCAAGCCAGGTTCACCCTCAAACGAAAACAGAACATGTTACTGAATAAAATGACAAGTCTTGCATTAAATACATCCTTGAATTCTACCCAGCCCTAGAAAGGAGACTCCTATCTAATTGGGTCTCCCTATATTACAAAAATGGCATAGAAATAAAATGTTGCAAGTAAATGTTATCACCACAGTGCATTAAATAGCATGGCATGGTGAGTCATATGCTGGACTTTAAAGTCAAGAAGACCTGTGTTAGGGATTCTGCTTCTGATACTCACTAGCTGTAGGATTTAACCTCATTGAGCCTAAATTACCTCATGTAAAGTGGGAATAATAGTACCTACCTTACAGGGTTATCAAGAGACTCATATGATACAATATGGAGTCCTACGAAGACTTTAAAGTAATATGTATATATATATGAGTGTGTATATATACATATATTAATCCTTTTCACTGCAAGTAAGCTTCTATGAGATATTAATAGCTAGCATTTATATAGTGCTTTAAGGATGGCAAAGCACTTTAAAATATTATCTCATTTGATTCTCATGATTATTATTATCTCCATTTGACAGCTAAGGAAACTGAGGCATAAAAAGGTTAAGTGACTTGCCCAGAATAGCACAGCTAGTAAGTGTCTGAAGCTGGATTTAAGCTCAGGATTTCCTGACTCCAAGTCCAACGCTCTATTCACTGGGCCACTTAGCTGATAATTATTAACTTGGAAACATTTCCTGTTTCTAAAGAATGGTGACCTCATTCAATGCAGTGAAAATCTAAACCTATAAGTTTCAAAAAAACATAGTGAGGTATGAAAAGGGAAACATGCTGGCCTACAACGTTTTGGGGTGACTAAAAAGCCGCAAGAATCTTGCTTTTTATTTTTAAACCCTCCTTAAAGGTCCATCGGAATTTCTGTTGCCTTTTGGGCCAATTTGTGTCTTTTCACTGGGGGTAGCAGAAGTACTTCTGCTATGCAGGTAGTGTTTCCATTGATTTTAACAAAAGCATCTGATAAAAGTATCTCATGCTACTATTATGGAAAATAGGGCAGTAAGTATACTAGATAAATTTATAGTTCAGAGGTTTTAAAATAGATTGAATGGCTGGACCCAAAGAGCTATCCACAGACATTAAATATCTATTTGGAGGGAGGTTATCAATGCATTCCTCCAGGATCTTTGCTTGGCCCTGTCCTGTTTAGCATTTTTATCAATGATTTGGATAAAGTCATTGAAGACAAATTGTCAGATGACATGAAGGTGGAAGAGATACATCTAGTGCTTTGGTATAAATTTATTTATTTTTAGTTTTCAACATTTACTTCCACAAGTTTTTGAGTTCCAAATTTTCACCCCATCTCACCCCTCCCCTCACCCCAAGATGGCATGCATTCTGAATATCCCTTCCCCTAGTCTATCGTCTCTTCTATCTCTCCCCCTCCCTTCTCTTATCCCCTTCCCCTTCTATTTTCCTGTAGGGCAGGATAAATTTCTGCACCCTATTTCCTGTATTTCTTAATATCTAGTACTTTGGATCAGAAGTGTCAAACTCAGGCACCAAGTGGGACCTGAACCAGATTGAAATGTAAGTGGGAAATGTTTAACTAAATGAGTAAATATAAAATACAACACAGTGGATTTTCTAAGTCAATATGTACCAGCAGGAATCAATTTCTATTTGACAATGACAGCATGCCAAGAATGACAGTCAAGACTAAGTGAAGACCTCAACAGGCAAGAACATTGGGTCGAATTTAATAAAATGAAATTTAATAGTGATAAATATAAAGTGACACACTTGGGCTCAAAAAGTCAATTTCATAAATAAAGATAGGAGAGGCTTGCTTGGCTAAATATCCATTTTAATGAAAAACTTATGTGATATGTAAGCTCAATATGAGTCAATATTATGATAGGGCAGCCAAGACAACAAGTATAAAAGTAGTAGAATGTGCAGGACTAGGGAAGTGGTAGTCCCACTCTACCCTACCATGGTCAGATCAGTTCCAGCAACCACATTTTAGGAAGGACATTGGTAAAGCTGGAGGACATCTGGAGGAGCTAACCAGGATGATAAAGGTCTTTGAGATGATGCAATGTGAGAATCATTTGAAGGAAACAGAGGTCTTCTCTGGACAAGAGAAGACTTGTGGGGGGTCAGAAGGTATGGAAGTGATCTTTGCAGGGCTGTCCTATAGATTTGTCTTAGTTCGTTTAGTCCCAGAGGGAGAAATGGGTGAAAATCGCAAACAGACAAGACTTGATGTCAGGAAAAACTTCCTGATAATGTGAGCTGCCCCAAAGTGGAGTGGAATGTCTGGGGGGGGAGTGGATCTTTATGCAACAGTTGGATGACCACTAGGAAGTTATATTGCAGAAAAGATTCCTCCTTGGGCATAGGCTGGACTACATGACATGACGTCCCTTCCAATTCTGAGATTATGAGGTTCTGTAATTACCAAATCCTTGTAATTATCTTACCACCACCCTTTCCCATTGCCATTATTGTAATAAGGGGGTTTAATGGCTAGTAAGTGTATGAGGTTAGATTTGAACACAGGAAGATGAGTCTTCCTGAGTCCAGGCCTGGCACTCTATTCATTGCAGCACTTAGCTACTCATTTCTCGTTCTTCTTTACTACATTATGCAGGTTCTGATCACTCTCCAGCCCACTATATCAAGTCCACATTGCTTATCCTGAAATTCAAGGCCCCTTCATAAATCAGTTCCAACAAATTTTTGATACTGTAAAATGATCAACTGTAAATGACTTAGTTGTTCTTAGCAATACAAAGATTCCAGACAATTCCAGAGGTGAAAAATACTATCCACTGCCAGAAAAAGAATTGATGGAATTTGAATGCAGATCAAAACATACTATTTTTCACTTTCTGTATTGTGCATGTGTGTGTGTGTGTGTGTGTGTGTGTGTGTATACGTTTTCCTTCGGGCCTGTGTCTTCTTTTACAACATGACTAATATGGTATTATGTTTTGGATGACTGAACATATATAACCTATGCCAAATTACTTAGTATCCCAGAGAGGAAGGAGAGAGAAATTAGGAAGTCAAAATATTTTTTTAAAAATGAATGTCAAAAAATGTCTTTATATGTAGCAGAGGGAATTGGTATTAGAACTGTATATGTACTATGGAAAGTGGTACAGGGAGAAAGACATGCCTTCAATCCATTTTGTCTTGCCATATGCCCTTGGTGGTCTCATCTGTTAAATTATCACACAAATTCCTCCTAGGAAAAGATATAAACTCCTTAGCCTGGAATTTAAGTCTCTCCATGTTCTAATTCCAAACTGCTTTCCCAATCCTGTGTCAAATTAGCCCTGTTCACCCACTCTATATTCCAGTTAAATTGTACTACTAACTATCCTCTGACCACGTCTTACCATATCTTGCCCTTGTGGATTCAAGCAGGCTAATGATGTCCATATACCTACACATCAGAAGCATACCTCGAATTTGATTTTTCATCTCAACCTCTGAAATCCTTCTTTCAGGGTGGCTCCATTAAGGGGCCACCCCCTCTATGAAGCCTTCTAAGACCCCTAAATGCCCATGTTCTCTCACTCCTCAAAGCAATACTTGCATTTTCCCTTTGTCCCCACCACTCCTTACCTGGCATAGTATTTATCTATACACACTCTATAGCTCCCTCAGTAATCTCACTGAGAACAGGGTTTGTGTCATTTAAAATTTTTAAATGCCTAGCCCCTAACATAGTGCCTTGCCTATGATACTTAATGACTGTATTAAATTGAATTCAATTTCTCCTATTATACACTGCATCATACTTACTTATGGACTTGTCATATTTTCTCTAGTAGACTACCAGACTTGGAGTTAGGAAGACCTGAGTTCATATCCTTCCTTTTAGGAACTCACTAGCTGCATGCCCCTGGGCAAATCACAACCTCTCTGGGCTTCAGTTTCTTCATCTGTGAAACCACAGGGGCAGAAGAGGCAGACTCTAAGGTCTCTTCCAGCTCTAAGCCTATGACACTTGACTATAAACTCTCTCAAAGAGAGACTGCTTCAGTTTTCATTTTTGTTTCCCTAGCACCTAGCATAGGGCAGATGCTCAATTAATGTTTTTGAATTGAATCCATAAGGATAAGCTTGATTTTTGTAATTTCATTTGCTATTTCATTTTTTAAAAAAGGTCCAAAAATGCAACAGTCTCAGTTTAACATGAATATCAGATGAAGTAACACTTAGCTTAAAGTCTGAAGTTCTGTCACAGGAGGGGAAAAGTCACATTGATGTTGCTATAGGATGCACACTTGGGTGATTGTAAGCAAGGGAATAAGACCAAAACAGGCTAACCCTGAAAGAGATCTAGTATTTGCTATATGAACTGAAAAACAGAGACAGCAAATCTGTCATTGTCAAGAGAACTATATAACAGGATAAGGGCTGATGCAGCACAGAGCAGCTGCCAGTATACGACAACACAGACATTGCTCCAACTGTCAAAAACTAATTACTGCAGTTAGAGCTGTGTGGAACAGGAAAGCCCCAAGACTGGATGATAATTTACCTATTCATATCTTCAAACAAGAAAGGGAAGAGCTGCTTCGATATTACCACAGGTTTCTCTATGAATACCATACCATTCTCTATACGAATACCACAGAAATCTCCATGATTTTGGATATGCAAGGAGATCAGAGCTCTCTAAAGCAATTATTCTTTTACATCATGAAACAGGTATAGTAGTTGGTTAGTGAATTCTTGTTGAAAGGAAGAAGGAAAGAAAGGGAATAAGGAAGGGGGCAAAGAAAGAATAAAGGAAGGGAAATGAAAAGAGATGTGAAAGAAGGAAAAGAACAGTTAATTAAAGAGGAAGGAGGAAGGGGGGAGAGAGGGGGAGAGAGAGAGAGAGAGAGAGAGAGAGAGAGAGAGAGAGAGAGAGAGTATCAGATCTGGAAGAAACTTTAGCAATTTTCAAGATTAAGGAAACTAAGGTCTACAGAAGTATAGTGACTGGACCAAAGTCACAC